GAAGGCAGCGGCGGCGCCGAGAGGGGGAGAGGGAGCGTTTGCGAAGACCATGCCAGGCGAGGACGGAGGCAAGCGAGAGGGCAAGGCTAGGAAGCTGGACACGCATGTCGCGAACTGCGCACGTCGTCGACGGCGTCGATGTAGCTGGGGGTACGCAGTGAAGCTATGTAGTGCTGGGTACATGCTCAGGGGACGATACACGGCGTTGCGGTGCGCGTCAGTAACGACCTCCGATAAAGGCGGCCCCGCTTATTCACGTCATGACCTTTACTATCTCGTCGCAGGATAGTATAATGCCTTCGAACGCGTGTACCTCGAACAATCCAGACTGAAAGATACACAGCGATACTCTGGCATATGTATGCAAACGACATCGATGTCTCCATAGCATGCGCGCAGATGAGTTACGTACATATTCAGCCAATCAGTCGTCCATTGCACCAGTCCTGGTCATTGATCACCAATTATCGCTCGTCTTTCCCAGCAAATAGCCTCCATAAACCACTGGGCCACCTACCACTCCTCGTAGTCGTGCAAGGCAGGCTGGACTGCTGTCATCACGACACGTCGAAGGAATGCGAACCCTTCCGTCCTTCATTGCATCTTCCAGCCACGGACGATGTCTCATCGTCTCGTATTCCCAGAATATGAGGGTTTTCAGACTTGGTGCCCCTTTCAGTGCACGCTGCTCGAACACGGGCTGTAAAGTCGAACACCTCCAGCGGATATGTTCTTCAGCATCCCTCGAAGCGTACGTCACCGTGTCGCACCCTTCCGGGAGGTTTGTTGGCTCATGCGTGTTCTCAATTGCCCAACAGAGAACCAAGTTTTGCAAGGCCGGACAAGGTAGATGCGTGGAGGGAGCGTCGGCCGTGGTCGTGCATTGAGCAAGTGCTGGGAGGACGGAGTTAGGGCCGGTTGCTCCGCACACGGTGAGAGAGGTGAGATGGGGGAAGGCCTGTAAGGGAACGGCCCAATCCTCGACGGTACATGTTGAATCCCTCCACGGTGTGCCGTACGAATGAAACGTCTCATCGAGCACCTCCAGATGGGTCACATGCATCCCTTGGAAGTAGTCCCGCAAGAAAACTTCGCCCAGCGATGAGGCATAAGCCAAGCGCAATTTCCAGACTTGTTGAGAGTGGTCTGCAAAGCACTCCAGTTCCCACGAGCATTCATCGTGTATGCGCAGAGCAACTCTGTCGAACGGGCGGCTTCGAAAGAGATGACAAGGTATGAGGTCGGCAAGGCTCTGTATATCTTCTCCGGCTGCATAGATGAGGGCGGTTAGAGGAACGGATATGGCATTTAGCATCGCGCAGACCGAAGTGTCTGAGGTGTCGAAGATTCCGAGCTCTTTGAGCAAGGGAAGGTGTACGACAGCAACGTCTCCCGGCACCGGCCACTCGTACGGGATCGCATAGTCGCTAAATTGCAAGGTCTCGATATTGGGACAGTTGCGCAGCGCCCGCAGCAGAACCCGAGGATCCGGAGACATGACATCTGGATCGTAATGGGATTCGGCCAGCTTGACTCTCCGTAAGGATCTGGCAGTGAACAGAGGGAAGAATTCCGCCGGGCTGATGAACACCTCGTGCAGGTGGGGAAGATTGATTTCAGAGAAGCGCGGCAAACTCGTCAGGTCAAATCGCCCTAGTTGCGCATCCTCGTCTCCACCACAGATGTCGAGTGTTTCTAGTGCTGGCGTGCTCTTCTCCAACAGCCGGGGCAAATCGTGTAGCAGCCTGCCGTCGACGTAGAGCTGTAGAGAACTGATCCGATACGAATGAACAGACAGCTCGACAGGAAGAGAAGATAGTGGGTGGAGCTCGTCTGGTCCCATAATCTTTGCTTTGATGAGGCATGGGCAGGACCTTTCGAGAGACGCGGCTGTGACCGGTCGGACGTCCTCGCGTCCGGCCATAACCGTCCCATCGTAGTAAAAGAAAGTTAGCCCTGAAACTGCTGCTGCCCAGAATTGAGGCGTGGAGAGGTAGACAGAGCGCCATCGCCGGCAGACGGACGTCAGATGGACGCTTCTCCAGTCCTTCCACGTCTGACCGAATATCTTGAGCAGCAGCTCAGGGGGAAGCGTGTGGATCGGTGCGGCAGCATTATGGAGGGAGGGCATCGTGTAGGAGAGGAGGCGGTACTCGTCCGATTTCCTCAGTGTCCAGGCTCGGATCTCATCGCTGCTGAGCCTAGCGAGACTAGCACGGTCGGGTTCTGGCACTGACGACGCGAAGTCGGGGAAGGGAAGCGTATCGGAGTGTTGGTGGTGCATTTCAGTGCCTTGCTTTACGAGATCAGCATATGTGAGCAACTCCATCTAGTCCTTGAACGTACCGACTAGACTTCATGTGGTGTCACGAAGGAACGAGCCCTGGAGGCGTTACTGAGGACGTGGCTCTCCCACGTGCAATGGAAGTAGCGGCAGACTGCCTCGTGGCAACTTACCCACGGTTACCAAGGTGTCGTGGTATTACCCGGCAATATATCATGACGAGACTACGTCAGAATATGCAAAATGTAACGGTAGAGAAACGAGAGCACCTCAAGTCCGTCAACGACATGGAAGGGTATCACACACTCCATAGCCCCGAGATCAAGAGCAATGTGCCTCCGAATGCATTGGAATCGTACATCCTAGGCTCGGACGAGACAATCGCATCGAAGGTTCCATGAAGTCAATTTGGCAGCGCAGCTCCAAACCGACTGTGATCGCAAGTGGCCAAGCGACTTACGTGGAACTGGTACACTTTCAACCCAACATCCCATAATAACACTAGCATTACGACGCCTCCGGAGGCACTATTTTGGACATTGCCGGCTCCTTCGAGTCGTTGTTTCTTCTCGGCCACTGTAAATTCGGGCGATCCTGAGCATCCACTGTCAGCGAACGCCGTCTCTCAACGACATGACTCGGAAAGCGATCCTCTGTGCAGATGGAGAGGTCTAGTAAGGTATGTTCATGTCTGTGTTCCAGTTGAAGTAGCTAACCGTTGTCGAGACGACCTGTCGGCGGTGTCCGCGGGACCAGCAGGGCACCTGGGAAACCATTGCCGGAGTATGCCATCGGAGTGTTAGCGTCGGTGCTAGGAGCGTCGAATGGACTGGCTAGGGCAAATATGCTGGAGAGACGAGACCCGCAGTAGATGTTGCCGCATCTTGCGACGGCGTCGCTAAAGTATGGATCAATTCAAGGGGTGTATTTATTGGTACGCACGCGTCGTTTGAACCGAAGACGTACGCCCGGGTGCTCGGAACGCATCGTGAAATTGTTGTTAGTCCTGAGTCATAGAGGCTGATGGTGTGGATTTGAGATAGTCCTATGGCCCTGGTTTCAGGAGTGAAACGTCCGACTTGAGCCAATGAACGCATCTATGAGAGCATCGGTTAATGCGACCTATCAAGAACGTTCTCCGTTGACTCAAAGCGTGACCGAACGTATTTACTTATCTGTAAGTCGCTCAACTGTGCCTGCTGGTCGAGTATCGTAGACAGAATAGCGCGATACACAACTTCTTGCTTGGTGTAGAGGCTCTGCTCTTCTAGTCGAGCTGTGACAGAACGTTTCAGACGTCGCCAAGCGCCATATACGACAGATTCCATCGCTTGTTGATGAGATCCACAATCGCGACGTACGAGACGGGCTCTCACGCGTCGCAGCATGAAGTCAAAGTCAGTCAATGTTGAGACCGAGCAAGTCATGCCTTGTGCTGCGTCAGCTGGCGTCAAACGTGCTCCTTGTTCATGGTGTCACTGCGTGTTGACATCGGTCAGACGCACACGAAGCGAACGAACAATGATAGAGCTCACTTTGTCAACACAGAGATTGCATTTGGATTTCACTCGCGTTGTTCTAATACACCTTGCTCCTATGAGTCGCTGTAACACAGTGAAGGCATCTGATCCTACCGCACGTGCACATAGGTCTGTGCGTTTCAAGTTGGCGAGATGCGCCGCTGCCTTCTTCGTGGGGCCATGAGGCATACTTACTGAGTCATCGTCCGAGATAGAAGTTGACCAACTGAAGGATTCGCAAGCTAGATAGACAAGTGGAACGAGGTACACTTGGCGTCTGAGGCTCAAGAACGCGCTTGAGCGCAGGGTTTGTGGAGTCCTTTGGAGTTGCTCAAGAAAACGCGCAGCACAGCGGGGCGCTCGGTACATCTGCCTGTTGCGGCAGAAGAAATCCAATCGTGGCATTATCCCCGTTATCCCCATGGTCGGCCTTTTGGACTTCAGCAGACACGGATCGACCTGTCATGTCAATGATTAATTTGCAGTGCCAGCTTGATAGAACGTGCCTTTAGATACGTCAATGTTCGTTGTGGCTTTGAACAGTAGGTTTGATACCATTGGCATGACGTCGCGCATCCGTGGCGCCTGCCAGCCTGGCCTCACTGACCAAGCAGAAGTCGTGATCGCTGGGATCGCGCCGATGGCGTGTGCGCCATGGAATACTAATCTATCAGCTTGGAGGTGACAAGTACGGTTCTCCAGAAGAAAAGTTCTATGATGCGCGACTTCCGCATCTTCATGAAGTGATGACTCACCAGGACGAGCAAATGACGAGCCGTGCCCCGAGCCTTAGCTCAGCTTTTCTTCAGTTGCTCGAGTGCAAAGCCGGTTAAGCCCAGTGAACCTTGGTGGAGTGCGCTGAAGAGATGGGAAGGTTCTTCGGTCCGAGTTCGCCCAACTTCACGGTTCATCGAAACTTGATAGTACGCCCTCGTGTTGTGCATTGTGCAAGGCAAATATTGAGTGTCGCCTCGTCTGTTACCGTCAGCCGCCCAAAGTTCGAGATGGCAGACGCCGATCTGCCAGACCGATGCGATGGTCGCGGAATCTCAGCCGGCCTCATTAGCGCCTATGAGCGCCTAATGATGTCGTCAATATTGTCACTTGTGTGACTTACTGCATCACCGCTTCACAGCGTCCAACGACGATGATAACCCACTGAATCTGCAGTTGCGAGCGAATTGCAGCGTCGAAGCAGCGGTTGGGGTAACTTTCACCATATTGCGCCAATTGCTGGCAGGAACATCATAGCTTCCGACGGTGGCGAATAAGCTCACCCAGATAAGGCTCGCCCGGTGCCCTGGTACAGTACTATCTCCCCTTCTCCTATTCGTGGTAGCTGGGAACTCGCTCGCCTTCACTGAGCCGTGTTAGTGACTTTTGTCAGGTTCGCCATAGCACTACCTTGTCAATCGAAGGGGCAGGCGTCGATCTCCCGGTCGATAGCAGAAAATGGACGTTACAGGGACCCGGCAGTGCTTCAAGGACTTGTTACGCGGATGCACTGCGAACGATGGAATGAAGCTTTTCTGCGAGCAGTATTGCTGCCGCGCTTTGTCGCCCACACGGGCCACTCTACCTTCGGCTTATTGGCGTTTGGCCACTCTTCGTCTTGACGGGTCGCGTAAGCTAATTCACCAGGATTCGCGCCCATGAGAGGATGACTTGAGACTTTGACAGACAGATATCGCCATGTTCCGCGCATCATGGCCACCCAGTATATATGAGGTGACTGCCAGTCCTCTCTTCCCCATCAAACTCCAGCCCTACTCGAGATCCTAGCAGTCATGCATACTACGCTTTTGGCAGCAGCTTTTTTGGCAGTTCTCGCCTACGCTTCCTGGAAGTACTTCCTATCCGACCTCATCCTGCCGTCTCCGCTGGATGATCTTCCAGCTCCCCCTTCACTGTCGTTCATCAAAGGTGACTCATGATTTCTTGTCGCATGTACACAGCCTCACGACGTGAATGTAGGAAACGTGGCAGATATTACCTCTCGTCAGAGCTGGAGATACTGGAGGCAACATGCGAAGACGTACGGCCCTGTCTCTGTATTGCATGGTCTTCTTGGCGTAGGTGGCCCACATTTTCTTTAGCGTCTGTATGCTACTTAGACTACTGTAGACCAAGATACTCGTGGTCTTTGACCCAAGGGCATTGCATAGTATTCTCCTGAAGGACGCAGAAAACTTCCCACAGCGTCTCTCTCCATCAGAGTGAGCATTCACGTTCATCGTTTGCGTGGGACTTGTTTAATTTGTGTCGGGTGAGCTAGCGATCTGAACATGCTCCTTGGTCCGGGACTCCTCACATCAGAAGGATCACAACACCGCCGACAGCGCAAGCTCTTGAACCCCGTCTTCTCTGCCGCCCATCTGCGCCATATGACCGACATGTTCTACGAAATCTCGCACAAGGTATGTCGCTAGCTGGTCGTGTGGCTCATGCCGTAAGTTAGTAGCTCAAAATGCCGTTAGCTCTGCGCTGCCATCGGAGACCGCGTAGCTAAAGAGGCGGCGGTCGTTGATATGAACGGGTGGATGGCCCGCGTTACGCTCGAGATTCTCGGGCAGGCAGGCTTCGGATACTCTTTCGACAACTTCATGGAAGATTCGACAGACGCGTATGGGGACTCCATCAAGAACTTCTTGTGCGTCAAACCGAGACAGTATCCGCGTTCCCTTTCTGTACACTGATGCCGCACTGCGCGTTGAAGCCCCGTTTTCTCCAGGCTTCCTCTGCTCCCCATCGTCCTTCCATGGATGACGTATCTCGCTCCGGACCACCTCATCAAGAACATACTGCGGCTGCTGCCTCATGCGGGCCTGCGCCGTATGATGGATATCTCGGACACCATGGAACGCCGGTCAAAAGAGATAATTGCGGAGAAAAAAGCAGCATTAACCAAGGGAGACCAGACCGTCGTGGACCAGGTGGGCGAGAGAAAGGACATCATGAGTATCCTCCGTCAGTCCTAGGCAGCTATGTGCTATGTAATTCTGATGACTGACGCTGATCGAGCGCTGTCAACGAAACAGTCAAAGCCAACATGATAGCGCTGGACCAAGACAAGCTCACAGACACAGAGCTCTGCGCTCAAATGTCGTACGTTCTTTGCATCGGATCGGAATTCAGGGCGCTGCTGAGCAGCCAAATGGATGTCTTGTAGAACCTTCATCCTCGCAGGGATGGATACGACTTCAAACGCTCTCACACGTACGCTCCAAGTCCTCGCACAGCATCCCGAGGCGCAGAAGAAGCTTCGGGCCGAGATCTTAGAAGCCCACAATGGCGAAATGAGGATGGACTATGACGCGCTTTGCAAACTTCCGTACCTTGACGCGGTCATTCGAGAATCACTGCGTCTGTACGCACCTGTTGCGTTGCTTCCCCGTCGGTGAGTCCTGATTCATAATATGCGTAGCGAGACTATATGGACCATTGTTCGGCGACTACAGCCCCACAAAGGATGCAGTACTGCCCCTCTCGGCGCCCATTCGGGGCAAGGACGGTGCGCTTCTACGTGAGGTTCTCGTCCCCAAGGGCACACGCATTGTCGTGAACCTCCAGGCCAGTAATGTCAACGAGGCGTACTGGGGGGAGGATGCATACGAATGGAGGCCTGAGCGTTGGCTCGAGCCGCTCCCTGAAGCCCTAGAGGAAGCACGTATCCCGGGCATATATTCGCACCTGTGAGCATTTCACGCCGGTAGCATTCAACAGTTATCAGCACTGACACGCAACTGTTCCCACGATAGGATGTCATTCATGGGTGGATCACGCGCATGCATGTGAGTTGACCTTCAACTATGTATATTTGGTATATGTTCATCAAGCTTCATGATGTAGTGGATTCAAATTCGCACAGCTGGAAATGAGTGAGTTCATGTGCGAGAGTTTTGGAGACAGTACTGAGTGATCTTATCTCGCATCAGAGGTCGTCCTCTCCGTCCTGTTGATGGCCTTCTCATTTGAGCTCACCGCCAAGGAGATCGCCTGGAACTCTGGCCCTGTATCCTATCCTACAATGGGTTGGGAGAACATGAAGCCGGAGATGTTGTTGCGGGTGAAAGCTTTATGAACTAGATCTTGCGGTTGCGGAATAGTGTACCAATTTGTCGAGAATAGAGCTAGTCCGACGTATGCGTTCATCGAAAGCCAAAATGGCGGCCGCAGAGAAGAGAAGTTGATGAGTGAAGGGCTCCTCGCACAGATGTTGTAAGTTCCGTCCTTTCCTTCTACGGACTAGTCCGCGTTTAAGCTGCGATTCTCCTCCCAGCACATACATCCTTGCTGGGACGGATATATGTAAGCTCTGAGAGGCTCTCACGCACGCTCCACATCATGCTCCCTGAGAACCGCTGCGTCCAAGTTGAGTTTCATGCTGAGTTTCTCGAAGCGGCCAGGGTAATATGATGATTCCGACCTCCCTTCATCGGTTGTATGAAACTCCCGTACCTCGACGCGATGTATCGCGAGAGGCTGCGTCCGTATGCGCTATCTTAAATTCATGATCAAATGTTAGATCCTCACTGGTCTTGCCTTGTTCGAGTCCTCACAAATCTCACAGTGCATCCTGAGATGTCGTGCTAACCCTGTTCCGTGCGCTTGAAGGACAGAAAACGATACGCTGATCAGCGAGCTGGCAATACCTAGTGGCACGATGGTCGTTACCAACGGGCTAGAGTGTCGACTGATACAGAGAGCTCTGCCAGCGGCGATTTGGATGCGAATGTCCCTCCGCTCTTCCACAAAAGGTAGGACCACGTGCGTTCGGACCAACTGGTTCCGAGCCGTCAGTCGGAGCGCTCAGGGCGCCGCGCTACCCTAGTCTCTCGAGGAGACAGGTTATACTCGGACTTGTGGGTTTTGGGGCGCTGGCTTCGCAGTGCAGAAAGCATTCTGACACGTCGATAGGCCGACCTTCACTGGTGGCATGTACTACTTGTGCATGTGAGCACGCGATAGGCACAAGAATCTTGCTGACGCGTCTTCGTGACGGAGGATCCAAGTTGTCCCATTTGAAGATGAGTAAGCAACCTTGTATCTCCTTCTTGTGACACAGTTTCTCAGCATATACGCATCCCCCAGGTCATCTCGTTCATCCTGATACCGCGTTCTTCGAGCTAACCGGTAGGCCGATTACTTGGGATGCCTCGACTGTCAACTATCCGACAATGGACGAAGAGAGTACCAAACCCTAGGTATCGCTGCGATTGAGATCGCTACATTAGTAGTGTCGCTGAAGGAAGGTGTGAACTTGTACGACAGCATGCACTCACCTGGTACCCAATTGTACGTATGCTTCGATTATACTAAGCTCATAGCATCAGCATCCTGGCTATCTCAAGTCGCACCCGGTGGGAGACCAAAGCGACGGCTCCCTAAGCGATGGGCAAGGATGACCCGACGAAACTCTGTGCGTGATCCAGTAGATTGTATTTCCAGCACGGGCTGACTTCCCTGCGCTAGTCCGGAGACGTCTCGAGCGCTAAGAGCTAAGGTGACACCCGGGCATTTCAGATTGGCATGCACCTCAAATGGGTTGGTTGCGGCTGCCCCCTGTTCACACAAAACGTCATTAAAAGTACGCATACTGTAAGAGATTCGAATGCTGCGGCTCTCTGCCATGTACGACTCGTGCGCCTCTTAGCGGGGGCATTTGCTCGCTGGGTAATTGTCTCCACAAATCGAATCGTCTCGGGACCTTTGCTTCCGTTTGAGGGGAGAAGGCTGTTTGCTCTATTTCCCAGCAGCAATACTGGGTTGAAACTGATATAAGGCTAGGTGGAACACGAGCAAGGTACTCCATATCTTGCTATACTACGATATTCGCTACCATGACAGCCCCTCATCTTGGTGCTTTCTCTGCTGCAGTTGCCGTATATCTCTTGTGGCTGCTAGTCCGCCATTACATATGGTATTCCCCCATAGACAAACTCCATGGACCTCCTCCCCCCTCCATTCTCCTAGGTCAGTACGATGCTCAGGCTTGCGAATCAGCTGACATGCGGCTGATGTTAATCGCAGGACACATTCCGGACATTGCGAAGCGCGATAGTCACAAGTGGTGGAGGAATCTCGCCACCACATACGGTCCTCTAGCAAAGTTGCAGGCTTTCTTTGGGGTGAGTGAGCGTGTCCGAATCGGTCGGGTCTATACACAGTACTCATGGGACGACTGCAGAGGCGCATGATCTATACTTACGATCCGAAGGTTATGCATACAGTCCTCATCAAGGATGTTGAGTCCTTCCCGAAGATTACGTCTGCCTACACGTACGTTCTAGATTCCAGGTCCGTCAACTTTTGCTTGCTGAACCGAACACCACAGCGACGTCACTTTGCTGCTTGGACCCGGTCTATTGACAACGGACGGGGCGCAACACCGCAAGCAACGCAAACTCCTCAACCCAATCTTCTCGATAGCGCACCTCCGTGGCGTCTCGCATATCTTCTTCAATATCAATCACAGGGTGCGATCCAGCTGAAGTAAGCCATGACAGCATGCTGATGCCCCAAAAGTTGCGGAATGCAATCGGAAAGCGTCTGTGCACGGAGGAATGGCGTGTTCTAGATATAAACGGATGGATGGCCCGTACCACTCTCGAGATGCTTGGCCAAGCAGGCCTGGGTCACTCTTTCGACAATCTCCAACAGGACTCGACTGACTCATACGGAGAGTCTCTGAAGTCGTTCTTGTGAGTATATGCTTGCGTCTTCCCCATGACAATGCCTCGTTCAGCATTCGCCCCTGTCAGCCCTGTCTTCAGTCGTATACCCTTCCTACGTGTCTTCGTTAGCATGTTTGCCGACTACGTCCCGGAACGGCTCACGCGCAAGATTCTAGGGCTGGCTTATCCGTTTCCTAATGTGCTTCGCGTGCTAAAGCTTTCGGACACGATGACCAAACGCGCGAAGGAGATTGTCCACGAGAAGAAGAAGGCTTTAGAGAACGGCGATAAAGCACTTGCCCATCAGGTCGGAGAGGGGAAGGATATCATGAGCATTCTTTGTGAGTCGAGCCGTCTGCCTTCTGGTTGAGGATTCTCAATACACGGACTTCCAGTGAAGTACAATATGGCCGCATCTCAAGCTGAGAAGCTCACGGACGAAGAAGTGTTTGCTCAGATGTCGTGAGTACCTAGATCGTCGTCTTGAATTCTTGATGACTGATCTGATTCGCTACAGCAACTTCATCCTCGCGGGCATGGACACAACATCAAATGCGCTATCTCGTATCCTCAATGTACTCGCAGGCAATCCCGAGGCTCAAAACAAACTCAGGAACGAGATTGTGGAAGCACGCGCCACTGTCGGAGAAGGAAATAATTTGGACATTCCTTACGATGTTCTCATTAAGCTTCCCTATCTCGACGCCGTCTGTCGTGAGACGCTGCGGCTATATGCTCCGGTCAACCTGATTGGTCGCACGTAAATGTTCACTTTGGCCTCCAAGGTAGACTTTGAGCTAATATATTGACATCAGCGCCAGACATGATACCGTCCTACCGCTGTCGTCACCTGTTCGCCAGAAGGACGGAGCGCTCATGAATGAGTTCATCGTGCCCAGGGATACATTTATCCTGATGGATCTGCTGGGTTTCAACACGGACAAGCATATCTGGGGCGAAGATGCATTCGAGTGGCGGCCCGAGCGTTGGCTGGAGCCTCTCCCTGGCAAGCTGACAGACATGAGGGTGCCCGGAGTGTATTCAAACCTGTAAGTGTCCTCAGTGTCCTGGACCAACATGGGCTCTGAGAAGCCTCTTATTGCGCAGGATGTCATTCAGTGGTGGTACGCGGTCCTGCATGTCAGTCTTCTCCAGACATTCTATTTCGGTTGTATCTCATCCGACTTCCCTAGCGGATTCATGTTCTCTCAATTGGAGATGAGTGAGTGTATATGGTCTCGCACGCGGCCATCTTCGCTCCAGCATTAACCCGCTCGCTCGATATAGAGGTCGTGCTCGCCGTCCTTTTGCCTGCGTTCGCGTTCGACTTAACTGACCAGCCCATCGTCTGGAACTCGGGCGCTGTGACGTACCCGACTATGGGAGAGGAGAGCACGCGCCCGGAAATGTTGTTGAAGGTCAAGGCTCTGGCTCAGGCGTCCTAGCACTAACCCAGACAGTCCGTATTCAACCTTGCTTTTGCGCGCTTGAGCGAGGTCGATGGACTTGCGTCTGCAAATGTCGTAGGAGCTACTAGGTAGTCTTTGACCAATCCGTCGTAGTGTCGCACGTTCTCCTTGTCCCATAATGACTACGCGCAAGCGTGTTCTTATCACGTCATCGCTCAATTACATGTTGACCAACGCATTTCTAGGGTCTGTCACCTCGTCTCACGGAACCGTATAAAAGTGTGCTGAGCACGTGAGGGAACTATACGGAACTTCCGGGGGCTGACGAAGGTCTCGTAGTCATTTGCTTTCCTCCGACTAGGATAACGCGTGCGATATTGCGAGAAGTTCACGGTGTCCTTGAGTCGTGCGAATGTGAACTCACTTTGAAGCGCGATGTTAGCTATAATCAATGACCGACTCATGTCAAAAGTAGGTAACAACACGAGTGAATACCGCCAGGACAACTCAAAGATGCGGATTGTACGTCGACCTGAGTTGTGGTCTAGGGTACTGAGTTCGTGAGACACGTTCGCCGACAGCTAATCTGTACGCAGGAGTGTCGGCAGAGCAGCTCGGCCTGCGACGATGCCAGTGCCAGACTCAACTTCGCCAGGCTCATCAGCAAATGTGCTGAACCGTGGCAGTGGCAATGCAATGCGTGCCCGGAATGATAACACCAAAATTGGCAAGCAGGGAATTGGAACGCATAAGCTCGCCATTGCAAACCTTGGCGGGGCGAGTCGATAATAAGGCCGTCGGGGATTTTGATGGCAATGACATTGCCTGCAAGAAACTCGCCATATATAACTTATAGATTGACCATTGATTGACATACTTACAGAATGGGAATGACATGTGCACGGGTGAGACTGTATGCCTCTGTCGCTCAAATTGCCGCCCGGCGCTGATCGCTCCTTCGCCCGCAGCACACCTCACCCGTCACCGCTACCAAGTACTGTCTCTCGTCGTCGATCGCTCTCCCCGAGCGGGCTTCAACCGGTTTCAAAGCTCTATCCTGCCAGATCTATCCCTTGCTTCTCACACATCAGTTTTGCGTGCTCAGCATGAGCAAAGTCTCCTGCGGTCCCCCAAGTCCATGGCAACTTGTCCAGTGCATGGTGTCTGACGCTACTGCGTTGCCCTTCAAGTCATCGATTCTTGATGCCTCCATCGAAAGCGATTTTGAAGTCCCTTGCCTCCGAAGATGGGCTGGAGGGTGAGGAGAAGAGGGTTGGGTTAGGGTCAAGGCAGCGGATCGTGGCCAGCTTCAATACTCCGGCACATGT